ACCTCATGTCATTCACAGAATGAAACTTTCTGAAAGTTTTATATTTTGATTTAAAACAAGGATCTTGTGTTATTAGCCTTCCCAGATTATTTTAGTTTTTTAATGACTTCAGGCGACAATATTCAATGAAATGTTTCTGATGAGGACGAGCAGCAAACAGAGTTTGTTGGTTTTATTCTCTGAAATGGTCCAGTGTTCTGTAATGACAAAGGGRTAACATTTTCATAGAGTGAGATTCAATGTATCACATATAAAAGTCTGAAATCTGTGACTGTGCGGCAAATAAGTTTCACGTATGGAGAAAGTGTTTGTGATTTAGCTTTGGTATGAAGAAACGGTGCAGAATAGCACAAGAGACTTTGTTCTTTGGCCTTTTTGTGTGTGTGTGTGTGTGTATGTGCAAGAAAAAAAATTCAGTGGGGTTTTTTTTTTTGTTTGTTTGTTTGTTTGTTTTTTAACATTAGCTTGATTTTTCTAACTGTTAAAGTGCCTCGCACAGCTCAAGCACACTTTTGCAGCTCGGGCAGCCTCCAGCCAAAAAAAAAAAAAAGGGTACAAATCACAAATTTCTCTCAGGAAGCTTTAATCAATTTAAATATATTTATCAGTCTGCTTTATTACTACTTTCTCCTTTCTTTTCTTTTTTTGTGTCCTGCCCTGAAGGTTATTGTTTTTTCAATACATTATACAGGTTACAGTAGAGGCTGAGACACAAAGACGCTTGTGTGTGTGAGTGTGTGTGTGAGTCACAGGAAGTGAGAGGTTGTGAGTTTTTCTTTGCGTTGTCTGTACCTGTGGTCAACATACGCACAATTCATACGTAGGACTGTTCCCCTGATCTTTACAGAATTATGTCATTTCCAGTCCAGTTTTACCCGCTTGCGTCACGTTTAACTGATGGATCAAACAAAACCATGAGCTCTGTAAATCTGCYRATCAAGTATATATATATMTCTATATTTACATTTTCATAAAAAATGTAGACACTATTTTTAGTTAAAAGGGTTTTTAGGCTAAACATGGTTTTAAGTCTTTGTCCGTTTTATATAACATGGCATGAAATGTTCGTTACAAATCAAAACAAAAAAAAACATGAAATGACATTCTCAAGTACTTATATTATAAATATTGCTGTAGAAAGAAAAACAACTGAATCTTGATTTGAAACTAGAAACCTTCTGAGCTCCAGCAAAAATATTCTCAGGATAAAAATTTTATTATAGTGGTTTTATTTTACAAATGTTTTGGACTGATGTGTGTAAAATTTGATTAATTAAAAAGATTCTAAATACATATTCCTACATAATAGACAAAAAAGTTTTATTTTCCCCAACAAAGTTACCTGTAATCCTGCACAGAGTGCTCGACCCCCTTTTTAAGACTGCAGAGATCTGTACAGCTGGATGAACAAAGGGCACCCACTAGTGGCTCTGAGACACATGTTCAGTCTGGGAAAATAGGGAATTTTAAAGTAAAAAAAAATACAAAAAGATCCATGTTKGGAGTTTCGAGCTTGATTTAATAGTTTAAACTGTTGGTTTTTTTTTAACAACGACATGCTGTATATGATAATAAAGTCGAATAAGTGAAATTAAGCACAATTAAAATTCAACTTTGAGTAACTAATGCTAATTGAAATGTATAAACAAGTGACAGAGAGAGGACTGATACGTGTTGTCGTTAGTCAGTGAGTGGATAAGCCTGGTCTYGTGTCAGAGGGAGACTCCATGTCTGTCCGCCTGGCTGCCCTGCACACTGAGCTGCTCCATGGAATCACATCTAAACGGAGAAGCTCAGCTTTATGTGCCTCACCCCCCACCCCCCCATCTCCTCCTCTCCCCTCACTCCTACCTCCCAACAAAAATGCTAAAGGCTTCATTCACCTCCTCTGCCACTGCAGCTCTCTGCTGAATCAAGCCAAACCACTGTAAGCCGAATGAAAGAGAGAGAGGGTCGAGRGATAGACAGGAGAGGACATTTGAAAAAGCAGAGAATAAGGGGGGGGGGGGCAGTGTGGACCCTGAGTGGTAATGACAAAGAAAACGTGCAAACTTGATGTTCTAAGAGGTTGAGCTTTCTACACCGTCATCAGAGATGAAGACTTCCCTGCTTCTAAATGAACTGAACATAAAAACACGAGTGTGTAAAACATGTCTGTGACAGTTCAACAGAAACCGCGTTTAGCTAATCGCACCTGTGGGTTGCCGTTGTGTGTTTGTGTAYACTGAGGCATTTTTGCAGCCTCTAGCAGCTCCCCAGCACATTGCACAGCAACGGCCCCCGCTGTTATTTCTGGTTTACTTATATATTATGCAGCAAGCTATTATATAAAGAGCTGCCTCCTTTTTTTTCTTCTTCTTCTTCTTCTATCGACCTCCCTGCTTCTGGTTCTTTCCCTCAGTGGGAGGATAATCTGGAATCCTCTCAGGAAAGCTTTGATCTCCCACACGTCTTTCCCAGTTTCGACGCCAGCGTCGGACCTAAAGGCTCCCACAGAACGTGTGTTTACAGTTCCCAGTGCGCCGGTTCTGATGTGGCAGGAACCAGTGCAAACTATGCTGCAGTCTTCCTCAAGGGCTTCCCACAAATAAACATCTTGGCAAACACTGACTGAAAGGCACAAACACTTGAAATTAATCACAGGTACCAGTGCGTAATAGTCAGGTGGTCCCACAGCACCATCTGCTCCGAGGACAGCCCATTGATTCTGTCAGGGAGGCAGACAGACAGATTGACAACTGTGCTGGCAAGTGGCAGCCAGGAGAGACATTTACTCATAAGTGGTGGAGCGTGAGGGAGGCAATGTTTRTTTATTTWTTTATTTTTTTGGTGGGGGGCAATTTTAGATGCATCATTGGATGAAAGCAGAGGCGATATGTGTGGTGCGTCCTCGTGACAACTCAGCCGCCATACCACATGCCTGCTYGAGAGGGGGAAAAGAAGAAAAAGGGAAAACATCCCTTTTTCCTAATGCTGTTGTCATGGCGTCTGGGTGTTCTGCACACACACACTGATGGCTGATTTCCCTTAAACTGGGAAAGAACGCAATTATCCTCCAGCTCTCCTCTCCCCTCCTTTATTTTGTCACCTTTTTTTTGACCATCTTCGCCACTAACGCCTGTTAAAAATAGCCACCCGCAGACACCCTGTCGGCATCCAGTATTATTACGGCATGCAGATAATGAACAGGCTGGGTACTCAACAATGGCTGCCGCACTTGGTCGTCAGGAGACAACAGAAGACAMAAAAGAGGGAGTGGAGCAGCAGCGGGTGATGATGGAGATAATGGCGACAAAAATACAGTTGATGTGCGCTCACATTCGTCAAAACGTGCCATTCTCAGCCCTTATTGTTGCACTGTAGAGGGGAGGAGCTGGTTTGCAGCACAATGACATTCCCTCACAATGGCTGGCTTGATATAAATGGCTTAAGGAGGGAATTACAGGGTCTGGAAATTAAAGAGGATGGAAATGATCTGAGGGCTGAATATTTTACATCAGTGACAACCCCTGCTTCAACATGTCATATAGACTGATAATAAACTGTAATTAAGGCTGCCTTCTCCCAGTTTCTGTCAAATCATGTGATCTAACAGGAGAGTGTTGCTGGGGCTGATGGAATATAGCAAAAAAAAAAGAGGAAAAAAAGGGGAAAACATGAGGAGAAACTGAGAAAGGAGGGGGTGTGCGCCTTACAGCAGTGAGAGCAGCGAAGCGAGACAAATCCAGTGGAGGAACCCCCCCTCCAGTCAGATGAACATCACTGCCTCCCTCTCTCCCTCCTCCTGTCTCCAACGCTGTGTTTTTCACCTCCTCCCATTCCTGCCTCTTTTCCATTATTCATCAGTGCGCCGAGAGTCCCCCATCTCACGGCTCCAGCCCGAAGGATCGTCTAGCCTGGCTGCAGAGCCGAAATTTCCCCGCACCCATCAGTCCGTCCACCTGCAGAGCATGGAGMCTCGGAGCTGGCCCTTTCCTGCAGCTCAGGGTGGGAGTGAGCCATCCTAAATCTGCTCTCMTTGCTGCTCAAGAAGAGAAATTTGAGAGGAGAAAAGAGAGGATTTATTTATTTATTTTTTGGTGCTGAAAGAATCCTTTTTGTCTTCCTCTATTTTTTTTTCTTGACTGGATTACAGTTCTGGCTTTGTGTAGGAACGAGACAAAGGAGTCCAAAATGCCTGAAGCCAACTACCTGCTGTCGGTGTCTTGGGGTTACATTAAGGTGTGTGACAGTTACCTACGTAGCTAGTCGGGATACCGAACTCATTCCGTCGTACCGCTCTGTGCTGCGTCGCCGATAAGACAATGAATTTAATTAAGYAAATTAAGATGTTATCTGGTGCCCTTAGTGGAGATTTGGAGATGCTGTTCAGTCTGAAGGGAACCCAAAAAATATTTCCATCGTGTGGTTGGAGGAGAGCATGACAGAATGGTGTTTTGAGGCTCAGGCTCCATCTTGAGCCCTCTGCAGAGCAGTGTGTCTGTTTGAATGTGCGATGATGTGYGTGCACGCGCGTGCACGTCCGTCATAAACATCTGCTGCTGCTGCAGTGCCTGGGTTTCCGTGTGCACTCTGAATCAACTGCTTTGAAGAGTTGAAACGGTTCAAAATGAAACAATATAAACACACCGAAGATTTTCTTCTTCACATTATAACTGCTGTATTTGATGCAGGTCTGTCTGCTGGATATGCCCCATAAAAAATTGATTCAGTTTATTAAAGCTTAAAATTGGTTCCTGTGGAGAAGTTAAGGGGAATGAAAAACTGATGGTCTCCCTCTGGTAAAGAATCGTGGTTTGCATCATAATTAACTCCAGGCTAAATGAAGGGGAAAATGCATCATGACCCCCACTGACTGTACACAGTAAATAAACAACATTGTTAACCTGGTGATAAAAGTTGGGTTTTTATGGCATCTTGTACAAAAATTTYCTCCAGGTTTTCCCCGAACTGGAAAATGACGACACATGTCTCTCTTCCCCTCCTTTTTTTTTCTGCAGTTTAAGCGGATGTTGAATCGGGAGTTGACGCACCTATCCGAGATGAGTCGGTCTGGGAATCAGGTTTCCGAATTCATCTCGAACACCTTCCTAGGTAAATAAAAAAAATCCTGTGGACATGTATTCAGAAATCACACAGATTTTTTTCCCATGGTCCTGATTATTCATCTTCAATCACCACAAAGTATAATTAATGACTCGTAGAAATCACCAAAAAGGTCATATTTAGTTTTCTCAGAGTTTGAGACTTCTGCCAAGGTTTGCCGCAATATTTTGGGAGGCTCAGTGTTTCACATGATGATGAGCTGTGGAAGTTGCTCTTGCTGGCTTTCCTGCGGGGGCGTACCATTAAAATAAAACTGCGCCATGAAGCTTCTACTGAGAAGATTTATWTAGAAATACATATTTAAATCACTCTAAAACTAAAAGGAAAATCCTGTTTAAATTCACGGAAAAGTAAAGTATATTTAAACTACATTTAAATTGATTTTTAACAGAAAATCTGGCTTGTTATATATAAATTAAACCACAATGYGTTCAGCATTTCTTCACATTCGAGAGGTGGGAATAGATGCAGTAGCTAAATAAGTAGGTGATTTTTTTTTGTTTACCATTTTATGATCATCTTTTAATTAGTGTATAAAAGGAAAACAACAAATGTTAAAGTCAACATATCAGCTGCTATGAAATTTATTCTGACATTGCACATTTACCAAAAACAAACTTAAGCGAGATGTCCGGGTCCAGTCAAGAAAACCATTTGCAGGGACAATGATATAAAAACAAACAGTATAATGAATTCCAGACAAACAAGTGAGGGAGGGAACAGTCTGCAGAGAGAGCAAAARARAAAAAAAAACGATGCACAGAGAAACCCCCTTCGCTGGCAGTGTGATAAGCTTGGCAGACTGGGTGACTCATTCCCATCTTAATGCATCTCTGCCAGCGGGGACACCTTGTTGTCCCTTTACCTCTCCCTCCCCCTCCGACTGACCCCAAAATACAAACAGATGACTATCGCTTCGATAAAGAAATGAGGATTACCCCAGCAGAGATAGAAAGGGGAAGAAATAGCAAATTAATTTAAAAAATACACTTTAATGAGATAGAAGAACTGTTCAATCCWTCCCTCCACTGAAACTACTTTTATWTGAGCTCTTAGATTTGCTTTTTATCATCTTTTTAAAAAACTGAWCCAGATCAAAGGGATAACATTTTTATTTGATACCACAAAAAATACCTGTCAGTTTTATATAGGCCATCTGCTTCACGTGTATTTGTTTCTTTTTTATAACTTAATTTCCTATGAATAAATTATCATTATTTAATTTATTTAAGAATTTCTGGCTTTGTAAAGCTGACTGGTTGACAACAGGCAGGCCTATTCAAGTAAGGTTTTTTGTTGTTTTTTTTCCCTGCCATTGTTGTCCTCTCAGGACCAGTCCCTTTTGATCAGGCAGCAGCAGAACACAACTAACTCCGAAAACATAATGAAAGGGGGGAAAAAACAGCCTCCAATTCTCCCGCTGTCTCTAATGCTGATGCCTCGTTCAAAGGAAGAACATAAAGGATGAAAACAAATTAGATTGAACTGAACAACACGTAGGAAACAACAAAATATAAGACGTGGACGAGAAAATGAAAAAGGTTTTTCTTCCCCTCGTTTYCGCTGCTTCTCTTGAGAAATAATTTAAAACAAGTTTAACCCCTAATCTCTACAGCTGCACCATTTCGCATCTTGTATGATTATTATAATTTTAATATGTACAGCATTTGATTCGGGTTGAGTAAAAATATAGAAATGAACAAAAGTAAGCCATGTCACTTATTTTACGTAAAGATCAGACATATAAACACCGGACAGTAGTTTTAATGAACACTAGCTGTTTAATGACTAGAGGGTGATTTCTTGCTCAGCCTCTTGTTTCCCACAAAACTCATCGGAGTGCTTTAGTTGCCAATTCTCCATTGCCAGAGGAGAACAGAGCCGAAAAAGGAAAGGCATGAAGGAAGGCAGAGACAACAGTGCACCAAAGTAAAAGTGATTAGTTCAATTAAAGCTCGTAATTGAAAAACCCTCCATGATGAAGAGCAGATAGGTCAATGAAAAGATCAGTTGAGGCTTGATGAGATTTAATGCAGATAACAAGTCTTTGTAAAATGTATAGAAATCATTCAAATAAATGTAAACTWTAATGAGAATTGCAAATAGTGCAACAGCTGGCTATATGTGACTTTATGAAGTTGTCTTGCCTTAAAAACCTTTAGAATTTGTGGGGGTGGGGGACAATGCCCGAGAAAAAGGAACTGAACAAAACCTGAGCTGAGGGAAACTGCAGGTGTTCGAGAAAGAACATGAAGGCAAAAAAAAAAAGATATGTGTTGAATGAACAAGTGAGAATTATATCCCTCAGAAAATAACCTGCAGCAGGTGTTTCTGCAGCGCACCTGGGGTTTTCTTTAACCAGCCTATGCAGGCCACCTGTAGTTTAGTGTGGAGAGGAAACCAAAAGCAGACTACAGAATGAGTCCACTTCTTTACCTTTTTGTTTTTTCTGTCCTTGCACAGACAAACAGAATGAAATGGAGATCCCGTCGCCGACATCCAAAACGAGAGAGAAGAAGAAACAACAGAAGCAGCAGCTGATGACTCAGATCAGTGGAGTTAAGAAGGTCTCTCATGGACCCTCACTCTCTAACAGCAGCATCTCTCGCTTCGGAGTCAAGACCGAGAAAGAGGAGCTGCTGTCCAAGGAGCTGGACGACCTGAACAAGTGGGGTCTGAACATCTTCAGCGTGTCGGAGTATTCCAACCACCGACCTCTCACCTGTATCATGTACGCCATTTTTCAGGTATGGGTTTTTCTACTTTTATATGAATYATCTAACATGCACAGAGGATAAACAGCCTTGTTTTGCTTATATAAGCAAAGACTAGACTTTTTTTGCCGGAGGTGGCACAGGGGTGGCCAAGGTGTTTTTTTAGGGGCCATGTACAAATAAAGAAAGCATAAAAAACTGGTTGATTGATAAGTCTTGATTTAAAATTTCCAAATGGCTTTTATTCAGCTGTTTTAAGAAATATTGTGAGGAATATTTGTGTGATAGTAGTGAGAATGATCACAAAACCATTCTGAATGATAGTCACAACTTTTCATTTAACCATTTTTAGACTTACAAAGCTGATAATTAGTGTAGGAAAAAGTCAAAATAGCCACCACAGCTAACCTCAAAAGGCTATAATTCAGTCATTTTAAAACATACTATTAAGATACATATATTAACATATATGAAACTTGTTGAAGAGNGTACGCCATTTTTCAGGTATGGGTTTTTCTACTTTTATATGAATCATCTAACATGCACAGAGGATAAACAGCCTTGTTTTGCTTATATAAGCAAAACAAGCCACTGGTTATATGCTTATATAACCAGGGGCGGAGCTAGACTTTTTTTTTTGCAGGAGGTGGCACAGGGGTGGCCAAGGTGTTTTTTTTAGGGGCCATGTACAAATAAAGAAAGCATAAAAACTGGTTGATTGATAAGTCTTGATTTAAAATTTCCAAATGGCGTTTATTCAGCTGTTTTAAGAAATATTGTGAGGAATATTTGTGTGATAGTAGTGAGAATGATCCCAAAACCATTATGAATGATAGTCACAACTTTTTATTTAGCCATTTTTAGACTTACAAAGCTGATAGTGTAGAAAAATGTCAAAACAGCCACCACAGCTAACCTCAAAAGGCTATAATTCAGTCATTTTAAAACATAYTATTAAGATACATATATTAACATATATGAAACTTGTTGAAGAGTAGCTAAGAATGATTGCATGTCAATTGCATGCTATTCCCAAATCAATCTTACAGCTAATGCTAATTTTACGAAGGGCTTTAATTCAGCTATTTTTAAACATACACAGCTAAAGAAAATTACAGTACAGTAGTATCAAAAACAATCATTGATAAAATCTAAATGCAAATAAAAAAATCTAGGATCCCCACCCGTTTGTCATTTATTCGGGGGTGGCAGTTATCATGGGTGGCACTTGGCACCCCGGCCACCCGTCCGGTTATAAAAGTGTTTTTTCTTTTCTTTTGATGACTGTGAAAAATACCCTACAAACACAAACTTGTCATTTTTCTAGGAGAGAGAGCTTCTAAAGACATTTAAGATTCCGGCTGATACGTTTGTGGCCTACATGATGACGCTGGAAGATCACTACCATTCAGATGTGGCCTACCATAACAGTCTGCATGCTGCTGATGTCGCTCAGTCAACACACATCCTTCTCTCCACCCCTGCTCTGGATGTAAGTCTGACTTTAAAGCTGTTGTACTTTCAGTATTTTCTTTTTTTGTTTGTTTGTTTGTTTTTTTTTAGATGCAAAACAGTTTAATGCTAATTCCTGTCTTATTCACAGGCGGTCTTCACAGACCTTGAGATCCTAGCCGCCATCTTTGCTGCAGCGATCCATGATGTTGATCATCCTGGAGTATCAAACCAGTTCCTAATCAATACCAGTACGTTTAAAATGTTCAAAACATAAAAAAACAACATAGAAACATTTATTAGCTGAGTTTATATAATTACCTTAATAAAATATCTTTTTGATTGCTGTGCAGACTCTGAGCTGGCCCTGATGTATAATGATGAGTCTGTACTGGAGAACCATCATCTGGCTGTAGGCTTCAAGCTGCTACAGGAAGACAACTGTGATATCTTCCAAAACCTCACAAAGAAGCAGAGACAGTCCCTGCGCAAGATGGTCATTGACATGGTAAAATACGGAGTTATTTTACCCACTTATCAATGAATTCAAAAATAGAAACTTTGAAAATTGTACTTTTGATTCTCACAGTTTTCTTTGTTCACCTTTTCTGCAGGTTTTGGCGACGGACATGTCCAAACACATGAGTCTGTTAGCTGACCTGAAGACTATGGTTGAGACTAAGAAGGTGACGAGCTCTGGAGTGTTGCTGCTAGATAATTACACGGACAGGATACAGGTGTGTTACATGACTTGTATGTTTATGAATGAACAGCTCAGCCTTTTAAGTCAAGGTGCTTTTAAATCAAAATCTGTTTTCAAAGTAAAACAAATGCTTTTTTTAAGTATCTCTTTTAACAAACTGCCACTCTGTGCCGTTTCTAGGTGCTGCGCAACATGGTGCACTGTGCTGATCTGAGTAACCCCACAAAGTCCTTGGAGTTGTATCGTCAGTGGACTGACCGCATCATGGAGGAGTTTTTCCACCAGGGAGACAGAGAAAGGGAGCGGGGGATGGAAATTAGTCCCATGTGTGACAAACATACAGCATCTGTGGAGAAGAGTCAGGTGTGTRAAAAAGAAAAAGAAAATGAATAGTGACGTGTTGTGAATAAAAACATTTTAAAAAGTTAAACGAAAGCTTTTTTTCTGTCTTTCAGGTGGGGTTCATAGACTACATTGTTCATCCTCTGTGGGAAACTTGGGCGGACCTGGTGCACCCCGACGCCCAGGACATTCTGGACACTTTAGAGGATAACAGGAACTGGTACCAGAGCATGATTCCCCAGAGTCCCTCTCCTCCCTTTTACGACCAGGGCACTCACGGACACAGTGGAGGTCCAGGTGTACAGGGAGGAGGGGAAAAGTTTCAGTTCGACGTGGCTTTGGAAGAGGAAGATTTAGAAGGGATGGATAAAGACGGTGAAGACGACGACGATGAGGAGGAAGAGTTTGAGGAGGAAGAGGACAGTCTTGGGAATTCTCACTCTCCTCCCCTGGACTATTTGGACAGTCAGGTGCCAGAGGATGGAGCCATGRTTGAGTCGGCAATAGAGATTGTGACGCACGAGGCGTCCCCCACAGATACATAGGGCTTCCATCACCTGGCTCACGTGGTGATTTGAAAGGCCTTTTTCTTTTTGGAAATAAAAAGAGGGAATATCCTCTTGGAGCTGTGCTTTTAAATAAGCCCACAGTGGCGAGGGCTTTGTTTTGGGCCAGCGCTGGGGCACCTTGCACTTGGGTTGTTGAAGCCAGACGGAGACAGATGGGTTATTTTTTATTTTATTTCTACTTTTTTTGAGAAATGGCTTCAGAGTTCTCAGGAATTAGTAACTGCGAACAGTTTAGTCTCAATGGAGATGAGCGGAACTTGAAAATATCCAGCCAGTTTGGAAAATGATTCCTTTTCTGGACTGGCATTAAATGGACACTGACACTACTGAGAGAATTTTTGTACCGTAAGAYTTTTGTTTTGTTTTGTTTTGTTTTTTTAAAGAAACAAGATCTAGAAGTAGCATAGAATAAGATTTACTGATGGAGACACATTTGTATAGCAAGAGAAAAGTGTTTACTTTTTTCTGTACCATTTGTCAAAAACCTTTTGTGTGCCTTTTTTACGACTGTCTTTATAATAGTTTTTTTTTATTTATTAAACATGCTAGTTTCAAATTGAAAAAGAAAACTTTTGTATGTCTAAGAAATAAGTCTTCCATGTATTGGGCAATAGAGAAATCCAAGAAAACATTAACTTTTTAACATCTACGGTAAATGGGAAAACATACACATTACCTATTTTTTCCCTCTTTCTTTTAATCTAAGCACACATTTTTCCTTACATGTAGAACTTAAATATGATTCATGTTTAGATTGTTGATCTGTTAGTCAGTCAATGAATAAATGTCAACATCAGGCCTAAACATCTTTATGTATAACCATTAATTAACTATTTTCAGTTTGGCTGTAAACCGTTCAGTTTTCCTACTGGGTTATAAAAGGAATACAAAATTGTTTTCATCTTTTTATCAGCCACATTATAAAGTTACGACGTTTTTCAAATGTGTCGTCTAACTTTTCCGTTATTTTCGGTATTTTGACCCTAATCAGCAGCAATATTTACGTGATTTACAAGCCCATCTTGGTTTTACTGACATGACCTGAAAACAATCAGGCCAGCTATTTTTCCCTCAAAATCCCTCAAGTGCCCATTGACGTCAATTGAAGAATTTTTCCCTTCCCCCTGCTGGATAAGTTTCCAGGACAGTTGGGTYATTGGGAATTTGCAGTGGCAGAACAGCTGGAACCAGCGTCACAGATTTCAACCTTTTTAAGGGGTAGAAAAAGGATAAAGAATGTCTTTACGGAACTTTTTTGTTTTGTTTCTTAAACAGTAGCATCCAGCATATTAATATACATTAATGTGCAAATTTCCCCACTGTGGGATCAATAAAGTTTTATCCTATCTCTTTATCTTATTAGTTTCAATAGAAACGCAGCGATTGGCTTGAAAATGGTTTGCAGACCTCCCAGTTCTGTTTGAGTCATCATGATTGGTGGTTTGGGTGTCCAGGTCGCATCACGTTTCTTCACTTTAGTTTCGGTTTACTGATACTCTAAGGTACTTTCCATGAAGCATGCCTCGGGGGGCCAGTTCAGCATGTATGTTTATATGGGAATGTGTCTCCATTTGTGTGTCTGGATCATGCCTTTAACCCACCACTCCACCACCGTTGTCTCTGCCGTTTGAGCTCAAGTTGGTCTTTTTTGCTGTTTATAACAGTGTGTATTTATTCTATACTTTATTAAGCTTGTAAATAAGAAATACTTGTTCAGTGTAAAATCTATTTTAATTTATATGCACTTGCATTACCTGGCAGTGGTGGTGTCTAACGTGTAGAAGACTCTGGAATGGAGTCCTTTTTTTTATATATGTATTATAT